CGGGCCAGGCCGGCGCGCGGAGCCGCGGCTGCAGGATGCTCCGGAGCCGCTCGCCCGGCGGGATGCGGGAAGCCAGCAGCAGCCTGGCAAGCTCCGCTGCAGCCCCACGTTGCCTAGAAATGGATCACCTAGGAGAAGCGAGTCCGCAAGAGAGCGGTGCTGTCAGGCGGAGAGGGGAACCGAGAGAGGAAGAGCTTCTAATAACCACCTCCTCCCCCTATCTGCAATACAAGGGAGAAACAAAACCGCGCTCTCAATTCCCTGGGAATCTTCACCCGGACTGAGAAAGGCAGGACTCAAAGAGAAGGCAGTGAAGTCGTCCCCCCCTCCCCACCTGTCTTGTTTTTTATTTTTTTTTTCTTTTTCTTTTCCCCCGAGGTTAAAAGCAACCTAAAAAAGCCACCCCATTTATTTAACCTTGCTGTCCCCCAACAGGTATCGGACTTTTGTTCTAGTCTTTGTCTGGAATTAGTCACATTGGCTGAGAACAAATTAGGGACACCTAGTCACTTAGGGAAAAGAAGACCTAGAAAGCTTTTAATGAGATTTCAATTATAAAGTTATAAAAAGCTGAGAATGTGCTAATTACCTTTTAAACAGTGTTGTTTTTTTTTTCTTTTTTCCTCTTTCATGATTTTCCTTCTTTTTCCATTCTCTGATTTTTTTTAAGGCAACCGGGACACAGAAAGAATTCTGAAATAATGTCAGAAAAGGGACAGTCATAAGCTTTAAAAATATATCTAATAATATAAAAAATAAAACAAACAAAATAAAAAGCCTCAGTAGTCAAAATACTGCATTGAGTTAATGGCCTGTGCAGTTAGGTCGTTCTGGGGGCTCCTTGCTGTCCTTGGGAATGCTGCGGATGCACTCTAAGGCAAGCTCCCAGTCTCCAGAGAAGGGATTTTGGGCAAGCTTCTCCCTGTTTCTGGTGACTTCTTTTCTTCTAATGACTATTTTATTTCTTTCCCTCTTACTGTAGAAGGGGGCTCTGTTAACTCCATCAAGTGCCTAAGCGAGGTCAGGTTTTAACAGCCTAGACACTGTTTCCATTACAACTGTAGTCCACTGGAAATCCTGTTACCAAGAGGATGTGTGTCAGAACTCACCATTCTTCTTCCTAAGAGTGGTGGAGCTCTTTTGTTCCTGTTCCCTCATTTAACACCTTCTCTTTGATGATGCTTTGGCTTGACCATTCTCACCTCTGCAAAGTCTTATCCTTCCGTCATCTTATAAATTTTATCCCTGGATATTCCAGGAAAAAAAAAATGTTTTGCTCCTTTGGTTCTGCTACTCAGACCCTCCTGGATCACATATAGTCTTTTCAAGCTCTGCACCTCCTCAAGAGCAGGATCCTGTCTCCTAGGAAACAGCGCCCCACCTTTTAGTGTGAAATAATTTCACCCATCTTCTATTTTCTCACTGCAGTCTACCTTTGTATCACAGAAGAAACTACTTTGGAATTAGTAACCAGTGCCTTCTATGATGAGCAGGACTTACATACACTCTGATTTTTTTTTTTTTCAGGGAGCTCTAGTTGTTGAATTTCAGAATTTCCTGAATCTAGAGCCAGTACTTCCAGGAAGTATTTCCAATCAGTTTTTATCATCTCTTCATTCCCTCCCCCGATGATTGCCCATGAACTCAATATGGATATCGTTCATGTTATTATTGATGTCATTCTACTGTTCAAAGAATTCAGATGTGCTTTCATGAATGCTGATACAGACAATGAGATTCTTTTTACAAAGCAGGTGTATCTCCTCAAGGCAAGCAAGTGAGTCATTGTGTATTTTATCAAGAAAAACAGTGAAGTCCTTATTTAGGACGGACAGCACAATATCATATATTAGGATCAGACAGGTAGGTGGAACTTTAAAGCAATAATTTTTATCATTCTAATCATAATAAGTGTTATTCTTGTAGATAAACCAATAGCTAAATATAGTCATGTTCTTATTATCTATTAGAAACTTATTTTAATGTCCAAATAAGACATTGTCATTATTCCAAAATCTTCCTTTTAGTAATTTTCTATCATAAATTCACTTTGGAATAATCTTGTGCCTTAGTGTGCCTCCTGTTTCCTTTGGTAAAGCATGGACTAAACCAACTTATACAAAGAAAGGATTGATTTGGCTTATACTTCCAGGTGACTGTCCATCACTGAGGGAAGTCAGCTCAGGACCTCTGTCAACATCGTGGAGGTCAAGGAGTAATGCTGAATACTTACTTATTTGTTCCTCATGGCTCACTGAGCCTGCTCTCCTGTACAACCCAGGACCACCTGCCTGCCTAGGGTGGATCCACCCACAGTGAGTTGAACCCATCCATACCAGCAATTAATCAATAAAATACCCTGGAGGCATGTCTACCGGCCAATCTGCTGGAGACATTTTCACAATTGAGGTTCCCTCTTCCCAGGTGACTCCAGTTTGAGCCAAGGTCACGAAACAAAAGGAGCACACTGTACTTCTTTGTGAAGGACTTGTGTAAGTATGGTAAAGTCAGAACTTCAAGGTTTGGGGCTTGTTCTATAAGCTACCTTTTGTTTTTTAAATATCTCTAACAGACAGCCGAAGTTCATAACCACTATTCTAGTAGCTGGACATACAACAGAATTGGGGAACCCATCATAAAACTCACAGAGATATGAGGATCAACTTCTGTCAGGTAAAAGCGGTCATTCAAACATGGTATGAAGCTTGCTAAATGAAAAGCAGGAAAGTTAGAGCAAAACTAAAGTATAGATAGCATTTGGCTTATTTTTTTCAGTTTATGAGCAGCAAACTTTTCAGTGTTCAAGTAATTCTTCTGGCTAGTGAGTCCTAATTAACTGGCTTTCTATGAATTTAAATTTATGTACTCACACATGGTATGACTATATTTTCTTTAAAAGTTGGATGGATTAAGATAGTTACCTAAAAATAAAGATTTACAATGTGCAAAATAGCCATGAACTACCAGGAGTAAAAATAGCATATTCATTGATTGTGTTTATTAATTAATTATTTTATGGCTGTTTGTAGAATTGAGCATTGTATATGTGAAACGCATGCTAAAAAAATGTCTCTATCAAGAACTGTATCTTTATTGTTTTTTTCTGCTCTTTTATTGTTGAAACAGGTGATTGACAATTCCTATAGTGAGCCTTGAACTTGTGCTCTTTGTGTCCCAGCCACCTAATTAGCTAGGATTATAGACCTATACCAACAAGCCAAACATGGCTATGCTTCTTAAATGGACATTGCAAAGATGGTTTCTTTTTTCATTAATACTGCATCACTTGGATTCAAGCATGACGTATGGGAATGATAGTACACCATTGAATTGAGTACGTCTGGCCTGCTGTACTCAAACTCAATCCCAGTGAAGACAGCCTTTTCCATTCACTGAAGTTCTATAGCAGCAACTTAATTTTGCAGGACAAATGTAAGTGAATGATAACTGCTAATTTCCTGATTTCCAAGCCTGAGACTGTGTCTTCACTGAGGAATCCTTGCGATATGAACGCTAGTGACTTGGAGAAGTTGTAGGAAGTATGAGCAACCTCAAGATATAAAATGTAATTGGCATTTTTTATGAGAAGAAGAATTTCAGAGAACTATTATTTTGTGTTGCTGGATTAGGGCACATGCAGGCCTCTTCAAAAGCACACTGTGTAGAAGGAGAGCAATACCATGGGAATGCACGCTGTAGGGCTCTCTTCAATTGTCACTCTAAAAACATCTAAGAATTCCTGTGTCTACCTTTGTAAAGTGAGCTCCTTCCTTACTCTTAAAAAACAGCACCGAATTAACTCATATTTATCAGTTTTAAAAGTGTTAACAATATACCATTGTACAAAGGGCTTAGTTTTAACATAAAAATCAATACATGTATAAGTGTTAACTTTAAACTTAAGGCATGGTGAATTTTCCATGTAGCATTTTCAAAATGTATTTGGATGATTATTTTTTGTTATGTATAATGATATCATCATTATAAATGTTGGTCGTCACACAAGAAAACCTAAATAAATTGAAACCAGACAATCAGTATATGGAGAAATTAAAGAGAACAATGGTCAACCACCTACAGATAGAAGTAGTTGTAATAAAAGGAATGAACTTATTCATAAATGTACATTGCTGGAAGGTAAAAGCATGAATTTTCTTTGGGTGAAGAGCCCTTGATATTTTTTTTTAATTTTACTTAAGAGTTAATGGAAATTCAGTGTTAACGAAATTTCAGAGCCAAATTTATTCAGTTTCTTGTTTTCGTCTCTAAATGAGGACAGGGAAATTCAGTCCCAGAATTTATACTGATATTTGTTAGAAAAATGTAAACTTAGAAAACACAGTTTGGCTTTTTAGTATTTATTTATTTTGTGTGTATGAATGTTTTGCCTGCATGTATATATGTGCAGCGTGTGCATGGTGACTGAGAAATAAAAATGCATAATTCCCTAGCACCAGAATTGTGGGTAGATGTGAACCATGTGGATGCGGGGAACCAATCTACCTAGTGAGTGCTGTGCCATCTCTCCAGCTTCAGAAAACATAGATTTTTCATATTTAATTTAATTTAAAACTTGCTATGTAATACATTCATGTTAGGTGAGTTTTGTCAGTTTTTCCAAGTTGATTATTTTCTAGTTTGTTAAGTATTTTGTCAATTTTTTTACACCAATTCAAAAATTATTGGATGATATTTCCCTTCATCCTTCTTTCCTGTCTCCTTCCCTTCTAATTTAAGTTCTCAAATACTGTTCACCTTTTTGGAGATTTCTATAAATATTTAAGATTCTCTTATCTTGAAACTTTTTTTTAACTAAATGACATATAAATTCCAAACTAATTCTATAACTAGCTGATTGTTCACAAGTATTTACCAAATTCATATATAAATAAAGTTGACTGAAATGGAAACGTTAATTTTACATCTTTTTCATCATCCATGGGCACATGATATTGAAGATTCAGATATGGGGAGTTATTGATGTAAATGTATATGTTGGTATATGTCTTCCAATCATCTCATCTCTAAGGCCTGAAGGCTGAGTAGTATTATAAGGAGTTTGAATAAACATAATTTAACTGAAAGAAGTAAAGTAATGACCTGTAACCTATCAAGCACACATTTTTAAGATTGGCCCCTCATTACATTTTATCCTGTCCCCACAAGATGGCAGCCATGCCTGTTGCTGATATAATCAGCTCACGTTTTAAATGTCTCAATACTAATAGTTTACCAGGGTATTATTAACGTGAATTAACCAAAAAGTTATAATGAAAGAAACTTGACACTTTAAGTGAGTATTGTTTTATTACTCGATATTATCCATCCTTTATTTTTTCCTTCATAAAACTCCTGTTTTTGAGATTCATTTATTTGTTTTGTTTCCATTTTGTTTTATTTGATCAGTTAGGAATTAAAAATAAAAAAGGTGAAAATTAGCCTTAAACCACTCACTCCTGTACTGAGCAGTAATTTGAACATGAGAACATTTTTAATAAAATAACAGTATAAATTTAAAAGCTTCAAAAAACAAGGCTACTTTAACTATTCAATTTTTCTAATAAAAAATGTTACATATGTTAAAGTAAGGAACTGCACTCTGTCAAAGAAGGAAAAGTATTTTTCTATTTTGTAACAGTTTACTCTTGAGTGACATATTAGTTGTATGCCATGACAGATAGGTCAAAGACAAAATGAATTCATAATGTCAATGATATTATTAATTATCAGTATAATTCCTCAAGTGGAAATCAAATGCCATTTTCTCCCCATAATAGGTGTTTTAATTGTTAAAAGAAAATTTCTTTAAGAGACATCAATGACATAGATTTGAAGTTTGTTTGTTGACTCTGATTCAGATATTAAACTATACATTTTAGTTTAAAAGATATTGTGCATAAAATAGCACATATGATCAGAAATACACACACATACATATGACATCTTGTCTTGTTAAGTATTTGATCACTTATGTTTTTTGTTTAGACAATTTTGAAAGTCCCAAGAAAGTCATAAAATTTTGAAAACAGATAATTTCAGCTCTTCATCAGCAGATACACGATCCATACAGATTTTGATAAGAAAAGTTATTCACTCCACACTATTCCTAAAAGTTACTGGTAAATTTAAAATTTAAGTGTTTGATTAAGGGTATGGGTGAATGGATAATCAATTAGTAAACTAAAGTATGGAATTGGAATGTTAAATAAATATAGAGAAATAATAATCATGTTACATGTCATCACCATCTCAATTCATGAGAAAATAACCAGATTGCAAAGCTATCAAAGTGTCCAGACACAGATCATATTATCTGTTTTTCATCCCATGTTTTACCACATGGGTAGATGCTACGTATCTGCTCTAAAGAAGATGAAAGATATTTTTAAAAGTTTCTCTGAGAGATGTCAATAGAAATAAAATCAGCAACTTAAATCCATATATGAATCTCTATCTAAATTTAACTTGACCTATTTTCAGTATGATTTATACAACCAAAGAGATTTTAGGAGAAAACATTGAATTATAAGTTAGTTCTCTTAGAATTTCTTTAAAGTTTGCAAATATAAAATAAATTGTAGGGTACCACTTTATTTCCTATTATTCCATATATTTCTGCTTTATATTACTTTATATTTCATCCAGGTAGACCAAAAGGAAATTAGAAACAACATAAAAGTATGAGACAGTATTCCAAATTTTAAAGAGTTAGTATTTGTAGAAAAACCTGAGTCAACATTTTTCACATTGGTCTTTACTATGGTTTAGAATTTTCCTCGAATTCCACGTGCTAAAAGTTTGGTCCCCTAACCAGGTGTAATGAAGCACCCCTGTAATCCCAGCACTAGGGAGTCAGAGGCTAGAGGATCCCTGAGTTTTAGGTCATGTAGTCTACATGGTGAATTCCAGGACTACACCTAGAAATCATGAAATTTTGTATCAAACATACACACACACACACATACACACACACACACACACACACACCTGAAAAAAACAAAAAGACAAGGAAACAGAAGAGAAAAAAAAAGAAAAGGGAAGAGAAGAGAAAAATAAGAAAAGAAAAGAAAAAGAAAAAGAAAAAGAAAAATGCTGGGTCCCCAGCAGGGCTCTACTGTGCAATGAGATTGAAGAGGCTGGCTCAAGTGGGAAGTCCTCAATGTTTGACAAGAATGCAGCCCTTCCACTTCAAACACTGTTTCAGGTGGTCAGAGCAATACTGTGTATGCATGCTCTGGAAACAGAACCCCAGGACCAAAAGCTGAAGTCAGCTTCTCTCTTGAAGTTGGTTGTGGTCTTATTGTTTACTGCTTTTGTTATGTTGATATATACCTCCTAGATCCCCACATTCTCTAGGACATTAGTGATGAAGGGATATTCCTTGGATTAATTTTTTAAATAGCAAGATGACATATATATTGGAGAATGTGAGGTGCTGAACTCATCTGTCTTTACTAGTATGTTAGCTATGAAAGGGGGTGTTGCAGAACTTATTGCATATATATCTAGGTCTGTAATGTCTTTTTAGTTAATTGTTCCCTTGATTAACTGCCACTCTTTTACTCATCTGGTTACTTTTAGCTTTCAGTCTATTTTTTTTCAGCTGATATGTCAGAAAGACTTGCTTTCTTCCTGATCTTAAATTTTTGAAGTATTTTTTTTCATCCTTTCATTTCAAGATTACCTTTTAAGCTGCCATGAGTTTCTTATAGGCAAAACACAGTTGGATTTTGTTCCTTTTAATTTCTCCATCTAGATGTCAGCTCTTATTCAGATGAGACTTTCCCTTTCATCTTTCAACATTCTCCCTTTGCTCCTATATTTAGTCCTTTAACATAAGTAATCTTCTCTGGGTCTTTTCATGCTCTCTTTTATCCAGTGTTCTGTTTGCTTTTTTTTCTGTTTGAGTGTGTCTTCTTCATTTACTATGGGGAAATTTTTAATGAACTAGTTGAAGATTTGGACTGTGTCATTGATATGAGATTCTTCCCCATCAACTATGCTAATAATTTTACAAAATTGTGTTTTTCTAGTGTTTCAAACTTCTTGAATGTTACTTTCATTTTTTTCTTTTACAAATTCATTCCATGAGCAGTTCAAATGCTCTGCTTTTGTCTTCAAGTATCTACTGAGCCCACTCTACCTCTAAGGTTTTCTGCAGAGTTTAATTTTGGGTTATCAACGTTTTCCATTCTATATTCATTTCAGCTTGAATTCTTTTCAATATTTCTATTGCTATATTGAATTCACATTTTAAATCTTGATTGTTCATAATTTCTTTCATCCATGTATTTGTGTTCTCTTGAATTTCAGTTTGGAGTTTAAACCTGTCCTTATTAAGCACATTGGGGAGGAATTTATTTGTGTATGGATTCTTTAAACTTCTTTAATTCTTTTTGATAATTCTCATTTATGTTTTTTTAATTGACCTAGGCATGGGAACTTCATTCCTTGGTTGTGTGTGATGTGAGATTGGAGGCTGACTCAGATTGTACCAGTTGAGGAGCTAGGGACAGTTGGTGCAGGAACTCCTCTACTGGAGTTAGGCTGGGCATATGGTGATGGTGGTTTACGTATTAAGAAGCTTCTAATGTACTCAGTTCCCATGTCACTTTTTCAGAAGGTCTTTAATGCCAGTTTTATCTCTGCATATCCCCTCTCTACTTTGCCTTTCCATTTCCAAATTCATTAACATTTCCTGTTCCTTTGCTCTATTTTAAAACATGAAAACCGTATCAAAATTCAGTACCCATTCATGGTAGATGTCACTGAATTCTGAATATTTAGAAACAGACACTATTCTCTCACCCACCCCCTCAAAGTGAAGCCATGGCACAAGAAATTCATAAAATTTCTATTTAACATATTCTTGATGAAAGTGCCTTTACATTTCTTTTTCTATTTTAGTTTAGCATGAATTCTAAGATTCATAAGAAAAAAATTGATGTTAGCTACCCTGTAAAATATGAGCTGCTTAAGTAATTTTCCTTACATTTATTTTGAAATATTCAACTTTATTAAGAGTATTCTGGCTTATTGAAGTGCAGGTTGGGTACACATAAGACTTTTCTTTTGGCTCCTAATTATCATACACAAAAAGCACCAGCTTCTCCAAATGGCACATTACATGTTTATCATCACTAAAAGTCATGCACCTAATCAAGATGATCATGCAGTCCTTTTCTCATAGCTGTGTAGGCTTACATTGTTTTACACTTCAACTGAGAAACTGCCTCCCCTGAAAATAGCTAATGAATATAAATGCTGAGACCTGCCTGAACATCATGCTTTGATACATTAAACATCACTTTATCTGCTCAGAAGCTGGGTCCATATTTTTACTTGACAAACAATATCATTATGACTGGCATTTTCCTTATTGCATGCTCATCCTATCATAAATTATGACAGAATCATTACTTTGTTGATAAGATGAGGAGGAAACAACTAACTAATGTGATAAATGATTGGAAAATGTTTGGATAATGAATTAACTTCAGAAGTTGTGGTTT